GTCAGAAGGTAAATGTCAGGTATTACATGAAATGCCTAGAATCTAGATTGGATAATGGTTAGTTTTAGCAAAATGGAGGTAAGTAAGCATAAAAGCTTGTAGCTTTTGATGGCGGCTGAGCTTTGATAGAGGCCATACAAGAATGCGTGGTAAATTCAGTGAACTGCTCCTGAATCAAATGTACCGACTACTGCTATTTATATTTATTTATATTAACCGGCAGACAGTGGTGACTGAGTTTGTTGTGGCGCTTATTCTCAGCACTTGCCAAATGTTGGTCTCGAAGCGCTGGTAGAGTAAAAACATTATGAGACATGTAGAGGCTCCTTAAGAGCAAAATAATGGACGATTTGTAAGTACTATTTATTAGTCTAAACAAATAAAGAAATTTTGACTTTGACTTTAGAGATTAGTGTTCATTTTTAGGTATGTTTCAGTTATAGGTACTATGTAGGATCGGAGTAAAAAAATGATGTAAATAAGATATCAATTAAATCAAATCATTTTTATTTACGAACATGAATACAACAACTACTTATACTGTTTAGTTGTTATAGGTGTTGTCATATGTTTTTAAGTACCTAAGTATCTTCTTCATCAGTTCAGATTTCTTCAGTTGGTTGGAACTAGTTTATTCTTTTCTTTATCATAATTATTATAAAATGTAGTATAATATTTTAAGCTATTATGTTGCATTTTTACTATAAAATTATAACGTCGGGAGGGTAAAATTAAATATTTTATTTACCGTCTAAAATAGATATATTATTGCAATAAATCCCGTGAAGTGATAATTTTAAAATGTAGAAGTTTGTTCACGTGGGTTTAGCTTGCCATTTCTTCACTAATTTGCAAAGACTTCTAAGTAGTATTACGAAGCTAAATTACGTAAACAATAATATGCGCACCTACGTAAGTACATAGTGACGTTTATTCACATTAGACGTGATTATTTAAGCGTAAGTACAACGTTCTAAGGCTTAAGATTAAACTAAATTACTTAAAGAGGTTTAAATAGGTACTTATGTGAAATCTCTACATACTGGACTACCACATCAAGCGTTATTATTTTATTGACGAAAAGATACGGTTATCTCGGTGTTTACAATGTTCTAAACTTTTCCATTGTTCCAATTTAATTCTTAATGTCTTTAAACTTGGTACTTACATCCCATCTTAATGGTGTAAAGATTGAAGAGTTGATCACTGACTCACATCGCACATAATGATACATATCACACACGCAGGCTTACCTACTCTCTCTTCGCATTCTATGTAAGCTTATTAGTAAACTAGCGACCGCCCGCGACTTCGTATGCGTGGATCTCGTTTCACCCCCTTAGGGGCGGAGTTTTGTAAAATCCTTTCTTAGCGGATGCCTACGTCATAACATCTGCATGCCAAATTTCAGCCCGATCTACTGTCCACTGATTTGGGCTGTGCGTTGATAGATCACTATGTCAGTCAGTCTCCTTTGAGTTATAATATAACTCAAAGGAGATATAATATATTATATGTCACCGTAAAATTGTGAATTCCGTCAGATTATAATCTGACGTAGTTAAATTACAATCTAACCTAACCTAACCCACTGTTAGTTTACAATCTAACGCGTTATATTATAAACTGACAGAGTTCACAATTTCACGTTGACATATGTCATATACATATATTTAGATGGTCTCTACAGTGGTCAATTCTACAGTCATTGAGTAATCCAAAGGCATGTCAAATCGCATTTGCTAAATATAACCGCAGTTAACCGCAGAACTATTGCTACTGCATGTCAAAAATATAAATACAAGTCCGGCAACTGAGTCAACATAAGGCCTGTATCACACGATACAAGAATTCAGATTATTTTTAGTAAGTATTAAAATGAAATCTAGTATTATAGAATAGTAAAAAAGTTGACATAGTTAAATAAGTCCTACATTTACATTCTTCTGATCATGATGATGATCGACTGAAAGCTTAAAGTAATTTCTTAAAGTAAGCTCTCCTGTGGTCTAATAGTCTTGCGTAAAAGTTGCGTATCCAGGTAGGTGGACATACATCTTACCACTAATGCACTTCACTGGTTGGGTTTAATTATTGGCGGTCAAGCTGTAGATCCTGGCTACACAGGAGTTGCAGTGGTGGGAGCAAGATGTAGGAATAGTCCCGTTAATCTACTAACTGAATGAATAAACAAAATTCAGATAATAATAATGAATAAATCAATTATGTAACAATCAATGCAATCAACTGAAGATAAGTTTAAAATAAGATTTTAATCAATAAATTTTATTATAACTCGCTCCAATTATTATAACTATTATAACAAATAACGTAATCCATTTTGGTAGGTATGTTAGTTAAAAAATAATACATATAGTTCAAAGTGTGGATAAAAGTTAATTCGGATACTTAATACTTACAATAATTAAGAAAATGTCTAAATTTGTATGAACTAGTTTAAAACCTGTATCTCAGCTTGAATCACAAGTACGTTATGTAACTTAATTCAGAGTTAAAATAAGTGAAGTAACTTTTACAGTTAAGTATCTTTATTTTTACTGATTAATAGATTATGCACTAAAATATTATTGAAATAATTTCGGTTATGTTAAGTAACGTTAAAAATCTAATGTAATAAAATAAGTGTGATAATAAGTAAGTAGTAGTTACTAAGGCTGAGTTGCACCACCTAACTTTGACCGTAACTTTGACGATAACCGGTGCGTTTTGTATGGAGTTTGGCAGATTTTTGACGTTTGTTAAAGTTAAAATATGATGGTGCAACCCAGCCTAAGTATGGGTCATTCCATAAAAAACTGTACATTTTCGACGTCATTTTGTCCGTAACTTTTTTAAGATGCTTTTGAATACTTTATTAGTGTAAATTATAGTTTATTAATTCATTATGTTATGTCTAAAAGGGCCAGTCACTTTATGCTTTATTTTAGGAGAAATTATAATTTTCAATTTTTTCATACTACATTACTCCTATATGACTTCTATTAAAGTGTAAAACATATAACCTTAACATTTATAGATAAGTTAATATACATAATGTACTTGTTTTGTTATTATCACTATATAAAAAACATCATTCCCTAACTAGTAATTTAGTCCCAAGTGCCGTTTAAAGCTAGGGCCTGACGCTCTAGGGACTGACGATTTGGAGTAAAACTTAACACAAATGCAGATTAACTTTATATTATAAGATGCTTAATACGATGTGCCGAAAATAGCCAAAAAGCCACACGTAAATACTATTAAATTATATACAATTTCCTATTGTAATCAATAAAGCTACTCAACTAGGGACTGACGAAGTGACTGGATTAACACATGTTTCCGCAACAACTGGCACGTTTGCACTATAACCTTAACATTTATAGATAAGTTAATACACATAATGTAGTTGTTTTGTTATTATCACTATATAAAAAACATCATTCCCTAACTAGTAATTTAGTCCCAAGTGCCGTTTAAAGCTAGGGCCTGACGCTCTAGGGACTGACGATTTGGAGTAAAACTTAACACAAATGCAGATTAACTTTATATTATAAGATGCTTAATACGATGTGCCGAAAATAGCCAAAAAGCCACACGTAAATACTATTAAATTATATACAATTTCCTATTGTAATCAATAAAGCTACTCAACTAGGGACTGACGAAGTGACTGGATTAACACATGTTTCCGCAACAACTGGCACGTTTGCACCAATTCAAAAAACGGCTAACGCAAAGCCAGTATGGTCTTGAGGATAACTTCGTATCGTACTTTAAACACAACTAAATGTCATTCACTCTAAATACATATTAAAGCGCAAAATTATAAAATCAGTGCGTGGCGAGGGAATGACGCTAAAAGCTGTAGACTCTTTTTCAACTAAAGAAAATCAAATTATTGTTTATTGAAACCGCAAAATATTAATAGAATTTGGTGTAATATACATTTAAATAGATTATTCGTTAATTAAAACAAAGGATAAAGTTGATGTTTTTATAAATGTGGGTCCCAAAACACAAACTTTTGGAGTACGGACATGCCTAGGGAATGACGTTTTGGGTCATTCAAAAGGAATTTAAGATGTTTTAAAAATAGTTTCAAAAAATATAAATGGGTGATGAATAAAGCACATTGCGAGCTGTTACTTAACAATTTTGGAATAAAATATTAACAAATATTTCATGTGAAATGTGGCGCGGACTAAGAGTTGACATATTTTTGTGGAATGACCCGTATAAGTAACTAACAATTATTATACAGCTGATCAGCAAAGTCTTTTCAAAAAGTGCCCCAGCCATCAGCTCTGCTTGGCGCGCCCACGGCCACTTGATTTTAAGGAGCTATTTGTCAGTCACCCAAAATCGAAATTATAATAGCCTGAAAAAGACGTATTAAATTAGTATTTTTTTTAGACTGTGTATCGTCAGATCTCTTCATTATCCTTAATAAAATAAAATAACTTAGATTACTCTTCTTCGTAGCCATCTGATTCAACCATGACTCACGTGGCGCCACCTAGCCGTAGGTATTCGTAAATATTATACGTAAATATACGACATTCGTACATTACTCACTGTGCACTGGCTACTGTGCTGGTAGTAAATACCTACTTACTGAAATTATGTCACAATGTTTGAATGGTAGGTACGTTATGGAACGAGTACCTGTGTAATGGTTTTTCGAACAAACATTGTACAATGGGAAAATTAAATAAATAATAGGTAGGTAAATATTATTATGCTTTGTGGAATTAATTGATTATTGACAAAAAAATATTTATCAATTTCAAAGGTGAGCTCAATTTAAAAAAATAATAATTTATTATTCGGCATGTGACGATGCACAGCATCTGGTGAGAGATGCGTCTACTTCCGGTGTAGTTTTTTTTACCATTTTATACCTTAAATGACGTCATTTCCGCAATTATTTAATAGGAATTGATTTGACTTACTTCCGTTTGCCGCCATTTTAGTCACCTGGGGGCGAGCTTGCTCGGAGTTCTTCATAGCGTCTTTAACTTCCAAACTAGCAACATCGTAAGCAGAAACTCTGCTCAGATTTTTACTGAAATAATTTATTTCTCAACGTTCTTATACTAAGTTTAAAATTAAAAAGTGCAATTGACCGCGCGTGTGTGACCGCGAACGACATGTACGTGATGGTGGTTGGCGCCAAAGGGGACGAGTGTCTTCCGGACGACGAGCAGGTGGACCCAGAGCGTCGGATACCGGAGAAACTCGGACCCCGGCGAGATTCAAAACGGATGAAACGAGGTACGTGGGATTCTGATAGCTTTAACACTCTTTTCGATCAAATGAGCATTCTCGCGAATCTCTATATTGTATGCGCAAGAGGACAGCTTATGGTCTCCAACTGTCCCTTCCTAACAGGCCTCGGTCGCTAGACATGGAGGTGTCTGGTGGCGGCTAAGGACGAATGCTACAGGCAACAGCCAATGGCGATGTCCCGCGTTCCCTCATATCACTTATATGGATCATGGCAGAAACAGTCAGGTTTTTAGTGGGTGTAGGGGCTACCCACCTTCTGGTAGGAAGAACCCCAAATAACCCACTAGCTGCCCCTGCAGCTGGTGGGTATGAAATGTTATGCATTTTCCGGAATAGTAAACAGGAAAAGTTTGTTTTGAATAGAACCGATTTGAAAAAATCTCTCACAATTAAAATTCAAAAATTTTTCTGCTGAACATAGGCTGTATAAAATATTCTCAAAATAGTAAAAAACCTTTGATAATTTACTATTTGATAAAGAATTTACGTATTTATTATTGATTAGGACTAATGTATACCATTATTTATAATTATGGAGTCGGTGTTGGAAGATTTGAAGATTTTATAGTTTCCTTGAGCTGTCACTTGACAGCCTGGCATACTTTTACGATGGTGGATCAAAGTATTTTGATTTGACTATAGAGCGTGAGAACACGCACACAGTCATAATTATTTTAGTGTGAATAAAACTAGCATCGAAATTACCTAAACTTGACATACCACGCTAGACGTAAACGCTCTTAATCAAGTTGATAACTTTTAAATTGAAATTTATTCGAATTTTAGCTTTTATTGCTCCAATAAATATGAACTAATCGCCATTCCGAATGCAATTCAAATTTATGTATCAGTAATTAACGTCGATTGTTATTAATCAAGTATTATCATACTCATTCATATTTAAAGCGACAAACGGTTGTACAAAAGAGTGCGGCTAATTTGAAATTTATAAATAACTTGAAAAAGTCGAACTGCCTAAGGCGGGAATTGATCCCACGACCTTCTGCTTGCCGGGCGACAGGACTGCTCTTCCAACTGAGTATGGCTGAGTTTCCCACCTGTGGTTCCCACCGCTGCAACTCCTGTGTAGCCAGGATCTACAGCTTGACCAATAAAAACCCAACCAGTGAAGGCCAAGTTTGTCCCGGGGGAAGTTAAGTCATTGTACCCGCAACGAAATTAATCAGAAGAATACAGGAGTTGTATAAGATGATATTATTTAAGGTTATTCATTCAGCTCAAATGCAAATATATTGAAAATTTGACATGTAATGAACATTATGAATAAATTTCTTATTCTTATTCAGCATCTAGCCGTTTGCATTTCTTATAGTAAATGGTGCCCATAAAAACTGGCAATTAAGTTCTTTTTCCCACGAGGAATCTCTTGGCTTGCATCTCACCAGATAGAAAGTGATGATCAGGTCGAAGGTGGAAGCGAGCTTCACCCGGAATTCTCAACCACAGAGGAACTGGCTATCTTAGCTCCAAACTGCAGGAACATATAAATAGTTTTTTTTAACAAACAAAGCTGAATAATATTAACGAGCTGTCTATCAGTGATTAAGTAAGCATGAAAATCAAAATCAAAATTATCTTTATTTTGTATAAACTAAAATTAACTTAATACTACAAATCGTGGCGACCACGAGCTGGAAGACGTAGCGTGGGCAGGCCTCCCACTAGGTGGACCGACGATCTGGTGAAGGTCGCGGGAAGTACCTGGATGCAAGCGGCGCAGGACCGGTCTTTGTGGAAATCCTTGGGGGAGGCCTTTGTCCAGCAGTGGACGTCTTTCGGCTGAAACGAACAAATCGACAAATTCTCTTAAGGAACCTATACAATATGTCTCATTCTTTTTTTGCCCTACCAGCGCTTCGAGACATGAATGCAGTAAATATGCACTTGTTTAAAAAAAAGATTACAAAAAACTTAAGAGTCAAAAATATCAAGTGACCTGTCACTCGATACGTTCACCGATAACTAGTATTTGCTATCGCTATCGATGCCTTGACCTGAGTCAACTGATAACACATGACTGATAACAGCAGTTCCGCAATGACGCTACAAACACTCGTACTTTCAACAATCACCTGATATTGGTAGTTATTAATACAATTTATAAAATTATTTATTATTCAGTAGGAAACATCAATCTTTTAACTGCGATCTCCAACCCGCTTGCCAAGCGTGGGGATAATGGCAAAACCCTCCACTTTAGTGGAGGAGGCTCATAGTCCAGCAGTAGACTGTAGAGGGCTGTTGATGATGATGATGATGATGATGATGATGATGATTGCAAACCACAAAAACAAACAAATAAAAGAAATACAAAATCGAATCATCACCACGCTGGATAAGAGTAAGTAGGTAGGTACTTGATGCCCTAAGCAATCCACACCTGTATGCCTTTGGCGCTTTTTTTGGTGCCCTCTTAGACGTGATGCCCTAGCACTTGCTTAATTAGCTCAAGGGTTAATCCGGCACTGATCATTTATTTGCCCAAAACGGGATTCGACGCAGACAGGCAGCTGTCACTGCTGTCAGGATGTAAAAGAAAGGTTAGCAAAAACTGGCAAACAATAATAATATGTCAAATCGCTACACGAAATTGAATCAAAATACATTAATTTAGTACCTATTTATGCTTGACGATTAAATTTAGAACGCTCGAAATCAAATCAAATTAATTTAGGTGTTGGTGAATTAATCTAGTACCTATTTCCTACCACGGAAGTATTAACGTTTCCTATTTTAATTTTTTGCTAGTAATTGAATTACAGAAGAGGGAAATCGATTAATAAAATTCATATTTTAAACCCCTCATTTGCAAGTGAATCCATTAGGAATTGTAACAAGTTTTAATTGACGACGAGCTGAAGGTAGATCCTGGCTACAAATCATCATAATCATCATCATTTCAGCCATAGGACGTCCACTGCTGAACATAGGCCTCCACAAAGACCGGTTGCTGTCGGCCTGCATCCAGCGCCTTCCTTTTTTTTCGACTGGAAAATCCATGAAACTGCATACTATCCAGCGCCTTTCTGCTGCTACCTTTATGAGACTGGCTACACAAGTACACAGTTGACTCAATTTGACTGGTAAAGAATGCTAAGGCATTAAGTTCGTCAATTGCACTTTTCTTTGTGCAATGAAGTTCTGCTGGGCGCTGGATGGGCTGCTGCCCGTTCTCTGTTTGATGTGTTCTCTAAGTCGCCTCTTACGACACCCGCGGGTGATGTGCAATAAAGATAATGTAACTCATAAATAGTAAGGTACATTCATAGTTGTGTTGCATTGTTGCATTAAAACAACAATTTCGTAATATCAAGCTATTTCCGTAGAAGTAAATAAAATCGTGCGTTTATGGCTTTAGAAACAATAAAAGCAATACGACTTCCGTGCTCGCTCACGTGACCAAGTTATTGACCAAAAGCATGTTTCTAAGTTACACCATAAAATAATAAAGTAAAGTAAAAAGGATTTTATTTGCCAACAAAAGGTTTACAAACATAATTCTAGCGGCTGCTGCACTAAGCTGTGCTTGTGTCATAAGTAACACAAGTTTAACAATATTGATAAAATATAGTGAGACACACAATTTATGGCAATTAACAGTTAATAAACTCTTAAAATAACTAAAACTAGTTTATGATAAAAAAAATCACATAAAATACCAACCCTACTGAGAGCTTTTAATACTCTGTATCTGTATGGCGACTAACATAACAGATGCATTCTTAAAAGATACATTATTTTGATTAATTAATTATTTTTCATCGACATCGTAAAGGTAGCAGGGAAGCGCTGGACGCAGACCGCTGCCAATCGATCAACATGGAAAGCATTGGGGGAGGCCTATGTTCAGCAGTGGACGTCCTATGGCTGAAATGATGATGATGATGATGATGAATTATTTTTGTCATGTTAAAAAGCTCGTGCTTCTCACATTATTAAATATCCTAGACTGTATCTCACTTAACACCAGGTCCAGGTGCGATTGCGGTCAAATACCTGCCTTGTTATGCATAAAAATAAATTGAAATTTCCCCAAGCGGGATTCGACGCAGACTAATTTGTAAAGCGAATCTAATTATGCACTTTCAGAGGCATAACTGCATAATTATTATTACATGGAAAAAAATTACAAACTACCAATGAAACCCGATGATATAAAAGAAAATTAAGTCATTGTATTTCTTATCACAAACTTAAAAGAACATCATCAAACACTTCTCCAGACGGCTGCCCGCTCCGGGATCTGAACCCGCGACCCGCCGACAATCGCCTTTGCGGGCAGTTGGTCAGTGATAACAACAACAACATTGATAAGCTTAATGAACACATTCTAATTAAAATATTATCTTTGTATGGACGCTAGTTACTATCAACTTTACCATGAAATGGGTGAATGGAAGGATTCATTTTGTATCTTATTTATTAAGGAATGTGGTTCAAAGTCCTGTTTTGACCATTCTTACTTAGCTTCATAGTTAAAACGAATGTTTTATGTTTTGAATTCTGTAGAAAGGATAATTTAGTAATTCAATATTATCTCAAGTTGTTCTTTCGTCCCAAAATTGTGATAGTCGTAGATGAAGATGGTTCATAAACGGGTAACAGAGATTGAAATTTAATACTGTAGCATCTAATTTAGACAAATAGCTACTATTTTAAAAGTAATTACGCGTTTTGGATTTAATAAAATTATAATCAGCTTCTGCTACCATCGGTGTAAATACTGTACCAAATATTTTTAAATTAATTTACTATTTTAAAGTTTTAATTTTCAAGCAAATAGTTCGTCCGTTACAGCCGAAAGACGTCAACTGCTGGACAAAGGCCTCCATCAGTAGTATTTTTTTTTAAATTGCCCCTTTTTTCCAAAATAAGAGGAGTCTTTTTAATCAACACTAGGCATAGTTTATGTAACTAACACACAAATACAGAATTTCAACTTTGTTTTGTTGATTGTAACTACTAAACAGAACTTTCTACAACTGTCGACAGAAGTTATTATTTCTGAAGCTGTTAATTAATAAGATTAT